CCTAACGGTCTTTTATACTTTAAAATCTATTTTAGTTTATTCGATATAAACAAACTAAACAATCGTTCAAAAATTGATATCTAATTGGTTGAATAGTAATTGACTAACTGTATGAATTCGTTCATAAAGTCTAAATAAAATTCATGATTATAAAACACTTAATTATGCAAAATAATACAATTTAAGTTATGAATTTCATGACAATTCCCAGTTAAAAATTATAAAAAAAATCATTGAAAAAACAAAAACATAATTTATAGACTTACTTGAATTATTTTTATTTTTTATTTTTAGTTTTATAAAGTTAGATTTTTTTTTCTATCAAAATAATAAAGTTTAATTATTAGTTAAAGGAAAAATGTTATAAAGTGGGATAAGTGGACCACGTTTGGTTTAAATAAAGTAGGATGGGGTTTTTAAATATTTTTTGTTTATGGTTCAAAACATAAATTAAATTACAAAAAAAGTAAATTTACCAAGGTCAAAACATAAATTAAACCAAGCCAAACCAACTAACTTAATGTGATAATAAGGGAAAAAGTAAAAAAAGGTGTGGGTCAGCTGACATAGTGTTGATACACGTAGGTTCGCCACTGCCAACATGTCGATTTATTGGAAATAAATAAATGTCGGCAGCCTTCGATGAATGAGTCGTTCAATTGGTTTTTTGTTTTTTTTTTATAAGCATGTAGAACGTGTTGATCGAGATCTAAGCGACGACTATGATTTTAATTATGATAAAAATCACATATAAAATACTCAAAATTTGGTCGGTTATCTTTCTAGGGATTTTCTAAGTAGAACATGCGTTAACTAAAAAATACACATGTTTTTTATACAATGTTTTCATTCATGAATTTTCTCAACTCTACTTTTATTGTAGATAATAGATAAGATTAGTTTGTTACATCTTGTTAGCTGTATAATTAGTTAGTCAATAATCAACTATACATGAGGTTTAAATTTCCTTTTGCTTAATCCTGATATTATATATAAACATTTCACTGTACATTCTTTTAATTAATGAGGATGAGAATTAAATTTGGCTTGCTTTAATATGATATCAGAGTCGAAATAATTTGTTTTTTCCGCTTTTCTCTTCTCCGTCTTCGTCGCTTGAGCTTCATCGAGATTCATCCTCTCCGGATCTTCTCCGATTTGCTCCGATGAGTGTTTCCTACTGCAGATTACTTATCGATTTCATCTTCAATCTCATTTCTTTGCTGCTTGAGATCGTCTTTTTCGTTTCTGCTTTTCCGATTCGATTCCTCTATTTTGGTTGACCTAGATTGTTGCCGATCTTGTTTTGCTTCATCTCCGGCACAATCCTCTTCTGCTATCGTCTCGATAGTCATCAATATCATCGATATCGATTCCGAGTCTCGTCATGGCAACACCTCCACCTTCGACTTCTATCCCTAATCCGCCTAATTCGAC